ATATGACCAAAATCTTATATCCCAATATAAGAATTCTATCGTCCTGATAACGATATAAATCACAAAAATGTAACTTTTTCTGTAAATTCTGTGAATCTCGTGCAGCTCGTCTTGCGGGAAGTGTTTCCAGCTGCGCGTCATGTAGCTGGAGTCGAGTGTTTTAACCGATGCATTAAACTACACATTTTTAGACATAAGTTGTAACAGCCGCCGTTTTCTTTGTGAGTATTTATTACACGGCGTGCTGCGGGGAAAAGCCTGTTCTAATGTTTGAGTCTAAGGTTTATTTTTTAGCACCTGGCGGCTCTTTTTTTACTTCTCATCCGTAAATAATCTGCTCTTTCACATGATTCAGTTTATTTTGAAAGGTCTCAACAGGATCTTGAGCTTTATTGTGAAAGGTTTATGTGGTACATAAACAAGTGGACACGCGATGGTTTTACCGTTGCTGTTGCTAACCACAACGCATAAAAACAGGCGCTTGTCCATCTGTAGTGTGGTTATATTAAATATAAGAGAAAGAGAGAACTTTAAGAAATTAACATAGCCACTACAGTGACCATCAAAACGGTGAAAAAATATTGCTGTAAACAGTTTATTTTGCGACACAACGAAACAAACGATAGATGTTTTTATATCGTCATCTGATATATATCGTTATATCGAACAGCCCTACTTTAATCCGTCCATCACACTTATGGGACTGGGCATTTTGGAATGCATCTTTAGAGTAATCAAATACAACTTTGCTCGTGATTTCTGCTGATGAAGTTTTAGATATGTGGCTTTCAATAGATAGATAGTGTAAAAGAAATGGCCACTGTAAAGTCTCAGAGCAAGGATGATTCAAATCTTTAAAGGCTGTGTGGCACACAAACCAGGAGAGATGTAGGCATCATCAGAAAATCATCATAAAAGCTGTTAACTAAGAAATCACAAGGACCAGGAGAAATACTATGAAAACCCAACTAGCAAGTATTACCAACATGATCTGGGTAATATTCTGGTTAGAGCAATCAACTCACTGCATACAGTCAGTGTGTCAGAAAACTGAACTAAGACCAGCAGTAAAATGAACAGGAATGGAAAAACCTTAAAGAGACTAAAGAAACAATCACTTTAAAACAGAATCAAATGCTCCAGCACAAACACATTTCCAGTGTTTCCACTAATAAATGGGACTGAAACACCACATTTTATTAGCTAAATAGCATATTTGCACGTCACAAATTTTGGAAGTTTTAATACTTTGAATTGACCAACATTACTTTTAATAAAGACTTAACTCATCTATATATAGCGCTTGCCAGATGGATGGATTTATACTCCACCAAAGAGCAGAAACCATCTGTTAAAGGAAGCTAAATAAAAAGACTACTGCATCCACAGGCTGGTGCAACGTGATCATTAAGACGCCTGCGGTGAATATCTAAGAGGCTAAACGACACACTTGTCTGCATAAATTGTGTAATGTGTCATCTGTAATGGATAACCTCAAAACACTTACAGAGTACATGTTGTGAGTCACTAGTACAAATGATTTATTTATGGTTGAAAAACCTAAAAACCTAAACGGGAAACAAGATTTTTCTAGTCAGTCAGCCAATCGGTGATTTATTCGAATCACTGCTGTGAATGTTGGGCTGCGACTGATCTTCAGTTTGATAAAATAATATATTCGACTGATGTGTCGTTTGGTTTTTTTCCCCTCGGAGTGAGAGCAACGCTAAATTATATCGTTATTTGACATACTCAGTGCACTTGTGGGCATGACTAAAATGTCAGGCTTGAAAACACCTTTGAGTAAGTACAGTCTGTGCAAGCTGTGACAGCGCCATCATCATCTCGGTCCACCCAGTAAAGGTTTTGCTGGTACACACAGTGTTTGCGGGTGCTGTTTTTGATGTTTTCCTTTAGAATAAATATAGATTGGGACAGTACGGTTCAGTTTAAAGCACCATTGAACACACGGGCCATTCCCACAACACTGACATCGGCAATTTCAATTTCACCCACTTCCACCACAAGTTACATTTACACAGACATTGTGGACTTTAACACAGTGCCTCATTCTGGCAAACTGTATCAGCATGGTTTGGGGTAGAGCAATCATTTAAACACTCTTCCCACCTCTTGTGAGTTCAAATGATTGGTCAAAGCATTAGCTCTCAACACTGATCATGAGTTTTAAAGTGCACAAATGCACCCCATAAAGCTCCATATCTGCTTCTCCTGATCTGGAGCTTAAAAAGCCTTGAATAAACAGCTGGTCTGCATGGCTGGTCTACTTCGAATCTCTCAAGGGATAGAAGTAGATATATCAATGCTTCATGTCACACATATGGAATCTGTGTTAGGTGGGAATTCGAGTCCACTAACCGAATTCTTTAAAGTAGTTTTCAAATATGAAGCTTTTTCCCTTTTTTAAAAAAATCCCTGTAAAAACTTTTCATTGTCAAAGAGGGAAACTTTGAATTTAAGTTGGAGAGCATCTGCTACAGGGAGCTTTTTTTCTTTTCTTTCCAAAAAAGCTACTTTGAGCTGCTCCCTTATTCACAAGCGGTCGCCAAAGCACGTAGCTCTGCATGTCTGATTTGGAAGATTTTTATGCCCCTTCCTGATGCAACCCCAAAGGGATACGTGGCTCCTCTCTGAGTCAAACTGGGGAGCTTTCGCTTTTTAGGCGAGGCTTCAGTCTAAAATAATGGAAATAAATACAGCAATGTTCTGGATGCTATTATATAATCATGTCGAGTCAGTGTTTCTGTGCAGTGCTAGCCTAACAGAAAGGATGCTTTGCTTGCTCTGTCAAAGGTGATAAGGATCACAATTCTCATGAGTCAATTTGTCCAGACTGTCCAGCCCAGAAAGATTCCCGTCAGCTCACAGGAAACAAACATCAGCTGGTTTGGTTGTCACACTGTCAGTCCCAGTTTAATTTTTCTTTTCCCCACTCACCAACACTTTTAAAGCTCAATTTAACTTAAACTGTTACCAAAGAAATTCATTTAGTGATTTTGTACTAAAATGGACAAAGCATGCTGACATTTTTGTAGTCTTTGACATAATTCTGTAATCAACATCCCTGTGTGAGTGGAGCTGATCGTTAAAAATAAATAAAATGCAGTTTAGCTTCACTAAAAATGCAAAACACCTAGAGCTCTATCAGTTCAGTAGTTACAGTAATTAAGGTTTCACTTTCTAAATGCTTAATTCCAGTAAACTAGTTTTATGAAACCATGAATTGATACATTATTTGTTAGATTAAAATGTGCATCAATCTATTCCAGTATAGGCCAAATACAGGATTTCAAAAAAAATCTTTATCCCCCTAATTCTTTTAAATTTTACCACGAAAATGGGGGAAAAGTGCAGTAAGTACAAGAGAAATACAGTATATATAGCAAAAACAGAATTCGTACAATTGTGAGTAACTTGAAAGTCAACATTTGGTGTGAACACCTTTATTCTGCAACACACCCTGAACTTTTTTAGCAAGCTATCCTTTAATTTTTAGGAGTAGTTCTTCAGGCTTCTTGAAGGACATTCAACGCTCTTCTTTGGATGTTAGCTGCCTTTTATTCTGTATCAATATGATCCCACAGTTTTTTTTATTAATGTTGAGCTCCAGGCTGAAGGAGGCCGATCCATGACTGTTGGTGTTCCATTGTGTTTTTCTATCCACGTAAGCTTTTACTGGACGGGCAGATTGCTTGGGATCATTGTCATACTAAAAAAAACTAAGCTCTTGCCAATTAAACACTTTCTAGATGGTACTGCATGGTGGATCAAAATCTGATGGTACTTTTCTGTGTTCTATCAATTTTGACAAGATCTCCAACACCCCTAGCTGAAATGCAACCCCAAACCATGACGGAGTCGCTCCACTGTGGTTTACAGATGCTGAAGGTACTCACTGTTCTTCTTCATACAACATCATAGTGCTTCATAGGTCAGTGTCAACTGGCTTAACAAAGAGTACAAGCAAACACATTCCTCTGAAAATTGTCAGGTACAAAGACTGGTTCTCTGTCTTAACTTCAACCCTGAAATCCACTGAATCATGCAACAAGATGAGTTTTCTATAAATGTATGTAACATCTTACATACTTTGACTTAGTTCTCTGAGCACATTTCACACGAACTCTTCCAACATGCATCACAAAATACAAACATCACAAGAACAGACTCGGGAACAACTTCTTGTCCAGCATCATAACAACAATGAATAATCTGTGTAATAATCACAGCCATGTGCAATAGTTCAAATGATCAGAAACTGTGCAATATTCTCATTATTGGTAAATTCACTGTGTAATACTCTTATCATACTCCTCTGCCTAGCATTGCCTCGTTATCTTACCCCGTTAACTTGCAAATACTTTTTATATTTAGTACTTTTTATATTTTCTGTGAGAATGACAGTTTGTTCATGGTCAGATGAGATGTCAGCGTAAATATTTTACACGGGGGCCACCGTGTGTTGTAGCTCACCTCATGTCTGAACACCAGAATTTCAACACGTGCCCCAGATGGATAGCATTATAGCATAAATAGTCTCATGTGGTACAACCAGAGCACGAGGTGGGGATACCATACTGATGGATATGGCACAAGGCCTTAAAGTCAAAGTGTATCCATTACTGCTTTGTTGAAATAATATATGGGCGTAGAATTATGTATGGGTGATTAAACTGACTTTAATTATCTGGACTGCTGACACAGCTGAAACCTATAAATCGCAGTGGTTTTTAGAGATAAGCTCAGCTTTGCTCCATCTGGTTCCCGTAAGCACATTAGCCAGTTTCATCTCATTGAAAACAATATGTTTAACTAGCTCTAGCTGTTAAGTTATGCAACTGTAGCAAATAAAATCACCACACAAACTAAAACAAGAACAGGTCATAGTTTGTGTAGTAATTACTGGAGCTGGTGTCCACACAGTTAAAGGCAGTTTAACATGATGTAGCGCAAGTTAAACAGATATTCGTCAGACCTACCTGCTTGCCTTCCAGTGTGTACAGTCTCCTCACTGCGCCAGAGTCCAACTTGATAGCGTCTGTGATGTCGGTGAGCACCTGCTCAAAGGAGTGTGCAGTTTTCTTATTGAGCAGTATCCGAACGGCCTTGCGGGGCTTGACGCCGCTGCGGATGACTGTGACTAACTTGGGTTTGATGAAGTCCTTAGATTCCCTCTGCAGCTCACTCTTCAGTGGGAAGAGAGACGGGAGGGAGCGCGACGTGCTGGTCTTGCTTCCCACTGACCAGTTGGGGTTCACGTTCTTGGTGTAGTCGACACGTCGGAAGGGTTCATTGGAGGCGCACACGTAACTCTCTCCTGCAGGAAGAAATGAGCTGTATGAGGTGCTGTAAAGCGAAGCTAAACACTGGCGCATAAAGCTCAAATAGCCACGTAAAGAACTCAAGTCATCAGTGGGAGGAAGTCCTGCAACAGGTGAGATGGCCTCATCATTACCCTGACATTAACATTACTGCATCACTCTGGGATTATAAGGAAACTGTGGCAAGCTCTTGCTAGGATCAACACATACCTTTAAAGAAAAAACATCTGTGTGTACATTTACCAAAGAGAATGGCTGAGGTTATTTTGCTACTAATTGCGCACTAAAGGACACATACGTTGCACAACATCAACCATAGCATGCCTTATAAACACTGCTCCCATATGGTGAATAACAACGAACTGACAGTGTGACGCTGTTCTTCTCTCTCCCTTCCAGCTGCAGGGCTGCTTTATTGGCCTTTCTCCAAAGCAAAGCGTTTTGCTTTATCAGCCAGCATTCCAGTTTAAACACCCAGGCACGCAAGTGTTTCTCCTTAACAAGAAAGTCGTGATAAGTACAGGAGCTTGGTGGGTGAACAAAAACCACATCAAGAATGTCTGGAGATTGTTTTGAAAGTGCTGGATTTGTGCTTCCCTGCTGCCGGTCTGTTCCAAATATGAGTAAGAGCTGGAAAGTGACAAATAGTGTCTGCAAGTACCAAAGCCTCTCTCAGAAGCAACTTACTGCATGCTCAACTTCACGAGAGATATTCAGCTTTAATTTGAAAGAAATCTTGTTCTAGGAAACTAGATAATTACAGGGTTACTAGGAATCAGCATGTACAAACTAAGAAACCGAGAAATAGATTATTACTCATGGCTGCATCTGTGTATGAATATAAGAACCACAGTGGCTGGCTCTGTCCAGGGAATCCCAGTTAAGTAGCAGGAAGAGTAATCCTTTACATACCACAAAAACGTATTTGTTCAAAACTTAAAGGAAAACTTTTATTTGTAGGATATGTTCAGCATATTTTTTCTCACCAGTTCATCTGCTGATAAGAAATCTATCCCAACACTGACATTTTGGTTACTGGATTTGTGTCAGAACAAGCAAATTGAACTTCAGCGTAAAAAGGCCAACTGAGACACCGCGTCCCAGGATACCAGGTTTTATTAAGCCTGCAATTAACCAAAGGCTAATTAAAAGGCTAGGCCACAGCTGGAGGGGACTGAGCTGTGGTTGAGCACCGAAACAAAATATATAACCGAGGCTGCCGTTCATCTGCAGGTAAATGACAGAACGCTGACATGCCCTCAGACGGTGCGCGGTGACGGGTCTATTCCCCGACGTCCCACGGGGATGTGATCGGAGCCCCAGCTACCCGCCGCTGGCTGCTGTCCTTGTGTGAACAACAGATGAGGACAGGCCTGACGGACTGTTTAACCAGCCCAGCAACTTTTACGAGGTGACACAGCGGTCACCACTCCAGCATGACGTCAATAAACAGTCACTTTTTTGTTATTACTGTGACAACAGAGTTGCTGTCGCAAAGAAATAAAGTGATTTAATAACTGCAAAAAGTATGACGTCATGGTTCTCCCATTTATACTCATAATGTTAAAAAGAAAGATCAACTTTCTTTAACCTTATCAGACTGTGGCCTTTACTTCACACTTGAATTTCAACTGTCAATTTGAGTTTTTACATTTTACATTTACATTGTTTCTATCATCCTAAAGGGTTGAATGAAGTTCAGGAATCATATTCTCACATTTTACAGAAACATGTAGCACACGTCTGTCATGAGAGGTGTGTATTATCAGTAAAGAACTGTTTCTAAGTCATGATTTAAAACTCTTTCAGCCATTTCTCTCTGCTGTAAAATACAAAATATTTCTACTAAGGCTCAAATGTTTTAGTATCACAAGTCAATTTGAACACCGACCATTAAAAGGCTTAATTTCCCCATGAGGTTCAAATAAAGACCCTCTGGTGCCCAAACTTGTTATTGCCCCGACTAGAATTCCCTTTGTCAGCATGCTACGGAGCCCCACTGTAACCTGCAAAGCTCTTTCTAAACCCATTTCAGGATTGGCTATAGCCGTTGTTTTCCACAAGCACAGCAGTTCGAGTCGACTGGTTGGCTCTGTAATCCCATCTAGTCATACGAGGTGCACATGTGAATGGCGCCTGATTGGGTTTTCACACAAAAGAGCCCCAGCATGCCTCAATCAATGGATGCAGACTGCTGAGCTGTGCAGTAATGTTTGCTCTCTTTGTCCATTAGATGGGTGTGTAAACATCGACAAGACGGCCCACCTGCAATCTGAGCGGCTCAAGGAGAAATTAAGCAGTCAACAAACATGCTTACCATTGACCCAGGGCATTATCATATCCTAAAATTCCCACCTTAAAGGGCCTGTCTCTTCAAACCAAATCATAAATGGAATATTTGTTCCTATTGGAATAATAGGCCCCATTTGGTGAGATTAGAAGAAAAAGACAGAAAAGCAATACAATCAAATCAATGGAGGCCAAATGGAACAAAGTATTCTTTAAGTATTTCATTTTGGGGTTATTTAACCGTAATAACAAGGTTGACTACAGCAAAAACAACACAAAAGGACCTGCTCTATATTCCCGCTATCTGGGCACTCGTACATTCAAACACTTGTCCTAATACCAAAATTCTTCTGCATACACCACCAGAACAGTCATTTTGGATGAACTGCCCATTGAAATAAAATCACTGGCTATGTGAGCTACTGAAGTAGCAGTGAGGGGTGAAGTCAGTGCACCAAAACAACCTTGGTGCAGTTTGTTAAACTACTGTTGCTACAGAATTTAGATCAGGCACTGGCCTAAATCTTCCCCAGTCTCTGGAGGGACAGAGTAAAGCAAATGAGTGCAGCACAGACTGAAATTTAGGAAGATGTGAGATGAAAATAGGATTAATAACTTCAGTAAGAGGTCAGTGGATCCTGAGTGTGTGTGAGGAGCAGTAATAGAGGACTGCAGTCAGGTCACAGTGCAGACAGTGAACATGAAGATTAACTTATTACTGAGAGGCCACTCTCCCTGCAGAGTAAACAGCACAGGGAAGAAGGAGTACCACTTTTTGTAGTAGTATTCACGTTTATCTTATAAAAAATGGACAGACAGGGGATGGGGAGGGCAATTTTTATCCTACAAGCCCCAAGGCTGAGCTCAATCAACTGCAAAAGATTTTAAATGCCAGTGAAGCCAACAAAATACATACGTTCACTCACTTACTCACTTATCCATTCATTCATTCCCAGGCAGGGGTGTATTTAGTGAAACACAGGGCACTTTCACGCCCACAAAAGCTCACAAATAAGGTAGCTGGGAGCGTGAGTCCAGCTGAGATCAATGGGCAGTGATGCACATTTTGCAGAGCATTAACTGTACTGAGGAGGGGTCTGTATGCTTGAGTGCATGTATGGCACTGGGTCAAACATGTTAGGGCGGTTACGTCAGTGCATATACAGCGATAATCTATATCGTTGCACTGCATCCAACATATAAGTAGATGGGTTTAAGTGCAGCAGATATTTGGAACAGAGTCAGAACTTTCCCAATTACATTGTAAAAGCAGGACAAGGAGCCAACTCTCTAAATATAATTTGCTTTGCAAGTTTTCAGGCAACTTAATCAACATTCAAGGCAAAAAATGTAGCTTTTAAACACTAAACAGCATGTCTGAGTGGATGCACATTAGGCCACCATTGATCTAATCTCAAGTACTGAGCTCCTGTCATCATTTGCGGTCACGCAAAGTGATTGTTGAAGGCTTCATCCATCATCGATCTTACCCTCTACTAACTCATCCAGGCTGGTGATCTTCCTGCCCCCATCCAGCGTGTACAACGTCCGGACTCCTTGCGGAAGGTTGACGTTGTCTGACAGGGACCGTGTGAGCTCCATGAGCAGGGCATCCAGGGATCTGAATCGGTCGTTAGACACGGCGTACACCAAACCTTTGAAATACTTGTCACCATTGCGATAAAAGCGCACCTTCCTGGCCTTTTTCTCGGAGGTGAGGGACTGGAGAGTGCGTGTGCGGTAGAAACTACAATGCGCACTGTGCGCGGGGCTTGGCACCAGCCCGTTACCTCTAGAACCACATTGAGACCCGGAGCCCGAATTGGTCCTCGGTGGCCGGTGAGGCTTGTCTCGTTCCTCAAAGTGTTCAAATTCAATACTTCTGCTTAGCGACATGTCGTCTCTCACTTTATCTGAACGCTGCTCCAAACAGGAAACCAACTTTTATACAGAGAGAGAGAAAAGAGATGAGGGATCGATGAGCCTAATGAAGAAGGCAGCCTACACGTGTGCGTCCCCAGTCTCCACTTTAAGCCTGCTATGCCTACCTTAAGCAGCACCAACAGTTTGAAAATGAGAGGGGAAAAAAGAAAGTCAGGATGTGACCCCTCAGTCCGCTGAATCTTATCAGATCGATCCGTTAAACTGATTCATCAACCGTCAACAAAACACAGCAGGAGTAATAATCCAGACGCCAGCTCGAGATTATATATCCGGTTGAAAATGTGTCAAAAACCCGGCAGCTGTGCTTGACAGACATCGCAGTGAATCTCTGTTATCTCACAAACAGCCACGAAATGTTAGAAAAGTTCGGCACGCCGCACTGAAGCCGCCTCCTCCTCGCATCCTTTCCTCTAACTGGTCGTCAGCTCAGGCTGTCAAATCAATGGATAATGAGACGGAGGAGGACGCCTTCCGCATCTCCGGGTCCTAATGCTGTCTATTGTTCCGTTCATGCATTCAAGACCCGAACAATGAAGTTGTGGTTTTACATTCCGACCAGATGACCTCAGACTGAGGAACCGTAAGAATGATACACGCCCTCCTCCGGAGAGCGAGAAAGTACATTCTGAGCTGGCCTGAGATCAGTACAGCACAGCTACTAAAAAACATATCGCCAGTTATGGATTTTATATATTGCCTTTAGTTTACAATTAACCCCAAAGACATATATCAACCTTGTGTATTTAAATTGCAGCATATATATTAGATGATACCATTAATTAACATTTGCTCATTCTCGCTCATTATGTGTTTGACACACTTTATTAAAGGCTTAAATTTGAAACTTGGGGTAGCTTTATCTTAGATACATAACAGTGATTAAACCATTTACAGGGAGCGCTCATGAGCTGTGTCGTTATGGCATACAGTGGTGGTTGTGCCAAAAAGTGATCTTTCATGAATTATATGATATTGAGCCACAAAGAACATTACTATCACAAGGTAGATGCTCCTACCAGTTTTTTTTTTTGTTTGTTTGTTTTTGGGTAAAGTGACTTTTACAGAGCTTTTTTATCTGGTAAAAATGTCTTTTTCAAGATAGATCTGGCCATGAGCAGAAATTGCAAGAAACATAACATTATACTTCTGTAAAGATATTTTAAGTGACCAAAAAGGACTGGATTGGTTATGAAGCAGCTGCAATAATGCAAAACTGGTAATTTCTTCATTATAAATATATACATAATCCCTTCTTAAATCCTGTTGACCAGTACAAGCAGATAAAATACACGAAAAAATCACACAGAAATATCACAAATCACTTTTTGGCACTAAACCTAGCTTATTGGTTAATGCACAATAGCACTGATTCCACCCAACCCTACTTTAGCTACTTTGTGTGTGCCATTAGTATTGTAACGGTGTTGCTGTAAGTTGTGAAACTATTCTCTACATAAAAATGGACATTAAAAGATTCGAAAAATGTGATACGATGAGTGTCTATTTCTTCTTGTGACATTTGGATGGTAGGGTTAGAATTTGGTGTGAATAACATAAGCATATATATATATATATATATATAT